AAAGAGGGGCATGAGGAGACTGTGGATTGGTAATACGACCTGGTTTGGGAATGCTAATTCCTGAAATCGGGTTATTTGCATCCTACGTTTTTTCAGGCCTGGTAAAAACAGTGTTTTCCCCTGCTAGGGATTTGGTGTGAGTGTTCGCAGGAGACATCACAGGATTGGGCACAAAGGAGATGGACACGCACTGTCGATATCTCCCTGCACAGAGGGCACTTGATGACACTTCAGTTCTTACGGTGATGAGCTACAAAAAGTCTGCTTGCCCCACTAGGTTATTCATGCGTTTCCTTCCTACACATACATTCTGATGTGTTCCTCTAACACGTCTTAAAAAAAGGGATGGGTGTTGCAAATCCCCGAACCAAAAGGCTTGCAAATCATCCGTCTTGTTGCTCTGGTGCTAGATTTCGTTTCTTGTCACAGCTGTTACCTCTTTTAGTAGCTGAATTCCCAAGGAAACAAAGCCCATATGAGCACAAAGGCGGAGCGCTCACAGCCTTTGTGTGTGGGTGTGCGTGTGTGTCTGTCCTTCCTCCCCACCCTTAATAATTTTTTAATCTGTTGGTCAATTGGTCAATCCGATTTGACAGAGGGCAAGAGCCTTCAGGAGTGATTATAAACATCCTGACTAGGGAAAAAATTTTGGGTGGAACTTGCACCTTACTAGAAACCAGATAAGCCCAGCTGTGAGATGCGAACGCTTTGGAGTCCCACATTAGCCGAGCCCAGCCGTACAGCAGGGGCACCAGCTCTGGCTCAGGCCTTTGTGTTTAACAAATAAACAAATACAGCTATTAGTAAACTTCAGCACCAGGTGAATCTGTCAACAGATTCAGGAGGACAATAAATCACCTAAGTCAGATAGTAGAGGAATAAAGCTTTGACAATGAGCTTTAAACAGTCTCTAGGCAGCCAAGCAGGAGTTGCTAAAACCTGGTATTTCCAAATATCTCAAACATATGACTCTGTCATGGAGTGTTCAAAATTATTTAGAAGCGTAACATAAAACCTCCCTCCAATTTCTTAATCGAAGAAAACAGATGTTAATCATGTTATAAGTTAGTCTCACAAAGTGAGGTGAGGAGACGGAGCCAATTAAATTTGAAGGATTTATTAGCAAGCGGCAGCAAGCAAAACAGCGCTGGGCAGCCCGGGAGTCTCCCTCCGCCGACGGCGCGCACCTAGGTTACAAAAGTCTTTGGTTTTATACTCTTCTACTTCCGGGATAAGCATTTCTCTTAGTGGTGTACTCTGCGTCTGCACGGTTTGTTGCTAGGGGGTCGTCCTCTTTCTTCCTTTGCTTTTTGGTGGTCGCAGGGATGAAGGCTCCATGTCTTCCTCTTATCACATACTCCTCGTCTTCCTGAGCCTCCCCCCTTCCCTTCCTTCCAAGTCTTTTCACAATTTATGATCTTAGCATAACTCGACCTTGCAGCCTGGCCTTGCTTGCTTAGCAGATGTTGGCTATCTTGCCCCATCCTGCCAAGCAGCTGCCTTTCATGAAACACTGTAACAATGCGAGTTTTTAGGTTTGGTGAACAAACAATACTGAGCTTGTCACAAATCACATTTGAAAAACACAGTACAAAGAGGATCCCAGCAGAACTTCCTCAGGCCTGATCTGTGTATTAAGTTGTGCAACAGTTTGATTGCTGCCCTACCAGCTGCACGGGAGCTTTCTGCTTTCTGTATAGCAAAATCAGGAGGTGAAATGATTTGTGTCCACGTAGTCACTGCACATATTTAAGTAGCCTTTTGGTTTAGAAGATATACGAAACCGTTTTTGGAAACACATAGATATTTTTTTTTTCTTTAATTTTGCTATTTCCCTGTTCTCAGCAGCTATTTGGACAAAAAGCAGAGTGGTTTTGGTTATGTCAGTGTCACAGGACAGTCGAAAGAGTG